TTTTGCAAAAAGTATTTCCTGCTATTTGGCAAAATAAATTCTAAATAAATTATCAGTCAAAATTACAAGTTTATTTAAAATATTAGCCAGTGCATGATTAATAAAAACACACTCAAGTTTTCCATTCTTTTTCCTCTTGACCTATGATTAAAAGCAAATAAGTAAATAACTTATTTATTACTCTCTTATGTAAATACTAGTTTTGAGTTTTATTTTCACAAAATCCCAAGTAAATTTGGAGCTTCAGGATTAACTACTCATCACATTCTCAAATTCATTTAATGGTCAAGAGTGACATTACACAGGGAAATGTAGTTCTGATTAAAATAGTAAACATAATTGATTCACTCAAATCAATGGCAAGAACTGTCAGAAAAACCTTTAATAAGATCAGTTTTGTTCAAAGCTTATGTTTGAGGATAGCATTTGACTACAGAGAAGAGCCAAGGTGGTGGACTAGACACAGCCAGAAAGAGCATCTCCCGCGGAGACTAGACCACCAAGAAGATTGACACAGTCCTAGCAGATCTTCAGAAAGAAGGCATTGAGAGTAAACAAAGGAAGGAACAGACCCTGGACCAAAGGGAGAGGAAGCTGGGAACGCTGCATGGGGTTGCTGAGCACTGGAACTCACTCCTGTCCCTGAGCGGCTACTGGCGAAGGGTGAATTAAATAAGCACAAAGCAGCCCACTCTCACCACCGACCTCCAGAATCCTAGCTGCAGGAGAAGACATGAACCAATTGGACATTTGAGCTGATAGGGAGAGCTCCTTGGAGCAATGTTAAGGACAGGGTTGTAGCTTGTGTCCAGCCCAGTGTTTGATGCAGCAGAGGCTACAGTGGAACATGGCCAGCAATGCCCATCTCTCAAAACTCTCCATGCTCCTTTGGGGTGGCATTTGGCTTTTGTTGACTGTCAGGCCTGAACAGAACAGGACTATCTTGCCTGTGAGATGAGGCCAGTCAGATGTGGGCACCCCCCTGTCTGTCAGCCTCTTTCGGGGTCCCTGAGTAGCTACACCTACTTGCAGTGCAGACTCAGATACTCAACCAGGTCCTTCCCAGCAACTACCTCCATATCTCCTTCTCTATGGATTCCACCTAACCATCGAAGAGCTTCTGCAGATGGACCCCCACCAGCACGCACTTGCCTGCAGCCTCCCTCCACTGCTTTTCTAGTGCAGGCAAGTACGTAGAACTTGTTGCCCCACTGCCACTGGCATGTGTGCCCACCTTGCTACCCTATCACCAACAGTGCATGTAACCTGCCACTCTTTCACTGCCAGCACGAGCATAAACATGTGGTCCCTTCCATGCTGCCATTCTGTTCATCTCAAAATGAATTAAAAACTTAAATGAAAAGCTTAAAATTATTTAAAAAAACATCCTAGAAGAATACTGAGGAAATACCATTGTGGACATAGGGCCTGGCAAAGATTTCACGAAGGCTTCAAAAGCAATTGTGACAAAAACAAAAACTGATTAGTATGGCCTAACTAAATTAAACTGTTTAGTTTATGCAGCAAAAGAAACTAACAACAGAGAAAACAGACATCTTACAGAATGGGAGAAAATATTTGCAAACTATGCATCCAACAAAGGTTTAATATCCAGAATCTATAAGGAACTTACACAAATTAACAAATAATCTCATTAAAATACGGGTAAAAGACATGAACAGATACTTTTCAAAAGAAGACTTATACAAATCCAACAAACATATGAAAAAATGCTCAATGTTATTAATCATTAGGTACATACAAATCAAAATCTCAGTAGGATACCATCTTACACCAGTCAGAATCACTAGTATTAAAAAGTAAAACAATAACAGATGCTGATGAGGTTACAGAGAAAAGGGAATGCTGATACAGTACTGATGGGAATGCAAAGTTCAGCCACTGTGGAAAGCAGTCTGGAGATTTCTCAAAGAACTTAAAACAGAACTACCATTCAACCCAGCAATCCCATTGCTGGGAATATAGCCAAAGGAATATATATCATTCTATCATAAAGGCACAGACATGCATATGTTCACTGCAGCCCTATTTATGATAACAAAGACATGGAATTAACGTAGGTACCATAATCAGTGGGCTAAATAAAGAAAATATGGTACATAGGCACTTTGGAATACTATGCAACCATGAAAGGGACTGAAATAACATCCTTTTCAGCAACATGGATAAAGCTGAAGGCCATTATCCTAAGCAAATTAATGCATGAACAGAAAAACAAATACTGCATGTTCTCACCAATAAGTGGGAGCTAAACACAGAGTACATATGGACTCAAAGAAGAGAATAATAGACACCAGAGCCTACTTTAGGGTATAGGATGGGAGGAGAATGAGGATCCAAAAACTATCTATCAGATACTATACCCATTACTTGAGTGATTAAATAATCTGCACACTAAACCCCCATGACTTGCAATTTACGCATGTAGCAAACTTGTACATGTACCCCCTGAACCTAGGTTAGAAATTCAAAAAAAAAGACATCCAGATCTGAAAGGAAAAAGTTAGAACAAAAATTTAACTACATAGACTTGATCAAATTATCTTTTATGCAAAATGTTCAACTACATAATGATGGGTAGAAATGGACTTTTTCGAAAGACCAAAGAGCAAAAGAGATTGCTCGCACGTCAGCTTCTGACTGTGAACTTCCTGAAGAAATGTCTTCATTTTTATGATCTTCAAGGCATGAAACTCTGGATATAGCAGTAACTGACTTGACTGCTCTCCTTTGGGAGCAAAATCAGTAACACAGACATGGTTAACCATTTGTTCCTAGAATGGGAATGTCTCAATACCAGTGTGGACAAAGAAAAATAACATAGAGATATGAGGTCAGAGGTTTATGGGCAAACCTGCCAAATTCAAGCTCTGGCTCCTCTGTTTTTAAGTAAGTTGCTGCTCTTTATGTCTATTTACTCAGTTTTAAAATGAAAATAATAAACGTGGTACACCAACTTTTTGACTGATCACCAAATATTTATGATTCTCTTTTTGACAGGTGTCTGCTATGACTGTACGCCTCTGCCCTCTTGTAGTTAGACATAGCTAGGCAACTTGCTTTTCCCAAATGTGTCACTTCTAGGTAGGAGCATTTAGAATCAGGGATATGATTCTCCATCATTCATCTTCCCTTCCACAACAATTCAGAAGCATGTGTCAAGATGAAACATCTAACCTAAGTCTCTGAATAATTACAATAATGTCTTCCACCTGCTAACCTGTATGTTACATGAAGCATAAGCCTGAAAAGAACTTTGGCTGAGGTCATCTTAAATCACTGGATTGGGGGGCTATCTGTTACCACAAGGTAACCTAGATTATCTTGACTTATAGAATAAAATCCCTCATAATATTTAGGTAAAGAAAAACAAGTTAATGTTTATAAATCACTTAGAAGAATACTTAGAACATTATAAATGTTTCATTCATCATTTAGCAAATATTCGGTGGAAGGAATATGGTGTCAGTAAAAACAAGAAGTACTTGTTCACAGGGTGTTGACCAGATAGTGAGAGAGACAGCTGTTAAACAAATGATTATACAGACATAAAACCACAATTCTGCCAACTGGAATCCCTAAGGGATGGATAATGCAACAAAAACATGAGGTAATTGGCCAAGATGAAGAGGTTAATAAGGGCTTCCTTAAGGAAATGCTGATTTTAGAAATCACAGGGAGGCATAAACAGGGGAAAGTTAGACAGAAAGAGCCTTCCTTGAAAGAGAGCTGGTGTGTAAGACCTTAAATCTGTGCAGTCTGATGCTGGCAGGCTCTTCAGGTTTGGTAAAGTGGCAAGGTGCATGGTACCGGCAAGAGACTAAACGTCTCTTGACTTTCAGCAACTAAGGGGAAAAGAAGTACAAGATTAACTAAAAAGTTAAGTAGGAATCAGTCTTTGTAGGCTAGGGAAGATTTTGGTCTTATCTAAAGGACAGTGGAGGAGGGAGGTGAAGCAAATGGCCAGAAAGCCTCCACTGATCTTCCTTCTGCAGGAACACCAAATTTAAGAACTATCTACACAAAAATACACCTTCATAAGAACCAAAAATCAGGTGAGCCATCACAGGATCTGGTTTTTTCATATTACTGAAAGGGCATGGAATAGGGTAGGAATGATAGTATTGAATTGCTAACAACACCCCTCCTCCATCCCCTGGCCCATGTGGCACGGAGCATCTATGCACTTGGGGAAGGGAAAGCATAGCGATCATGGGACTTTGCATTGGAACTCAGTGCTGTCCTATCACAGTGGAAAGCAGCACTGGGCAGAACTCAGCTGGTCCCTACAGAGGGAGCATTAGACCAGCGCTAGCCAGAGGGGAATCATCCATCCCAGCAGTCAGAACTTGAGTTCCAGCAAGCCTTGGCACCACAGGCTAAAGTGCTCTTAGGTTCCAAATAAACCTGAAAAGCAGTCTAGACCACAAGGACTGCAATTCCTGGGCAAGTTCTGGGCTTGGAGCACATGACCTAGTGAGAAAACAGCTGGGATAGCCAAAGGACTTGTTAGGCCACCTCTCCTCCAACCCCAGGGAGTGCAGCTGGCAGTTCCAGGTGATAATCCTTCCTTCCACTTGAGGAGAGAAGAGGAAAAAGTAAAAAGGACTTTGTCTTGCAACTTGGATATGAGCTCGACCACAGTAGGGAAAAGGCACCAGGCAGAGTCCTGAGGCCCCCTTTCCAGGCCCTAGCTCACGGATGATATTTCTAGATATATCCTGGGCCAGAAGTGAACCCACTGCCTTGAAGGGAAGGACCCAGTCCTGACAGGATTCATCACCTGCTGACTAAAGAATTCGTAGACCCTGAATAATCAGCAGCGGTGGCCAGGTAGTACCCACCATGAACCCTGGGTGAGACTCTGAGACATGCTGGCTTTAGGTGTGCCCCAGCACACACCCCACTGTGGTGTCTATGAAGAGAGACTCCTTGTGCTTGAGAAATAAAAAGGGAAGGGTAAGGGGACTTTGTCTTGCTGATTAGGTACCAACTCAGCCACAGTGAGGCAGAGTACCAGCTGGGTTCTTGGGGTCCCTAGTTCTAGGCCTTGGTTTTTAGATGGCATTTCTAAACATGCCCTGAGCCACAGGGGAGTCCACAGTCCTGGCAATATTCACCTCATGCTGACTGAAGAGCCCTTGGACACTGACTGAACATCAAATAGCCAGGTAGTACTCACTGAAAGCCTTGGGCAGTGGTGGCCAGGGGAAAAGACTCCTCTGCTTGTGGAAAGGAAAGGGAATAGTGGAAAAGACATTGTCTTGTAGCTTCAGTGCCAGCTCACCTGCAGTAGAATACAGCATCAGTTAGATTCCTAAGGCTTCTAACTCCAGGCCCTGTCTCCCAAATGGCATCTCTAGACTCACCTGCAGTTGAGGGAAAATTGCTACCCTGAAGGGAAGGACACAAAGCTGACTGCAGAACCCTAGGGACTTGGGTGAATACAGGAGGTAGCCAGGCAGTGATTACTGCATGCCATAGAAAAAAACTCACTCAGTGCTGTGCTGGTTTCAGGTCACACCCAGCACAGTCCCAGTGGTGGTAGCTACAAGGGTGCTTGTGTTATCCCTCTCCCAGCTCCAGGCAGCTCAGCACAAAGGAATAGACTCCATTTGTTTGGGAGAAAGGAAAAGAAGAGAACAAGAGTTTCTACCTGGCAACCCAGAGAATTCTTTTGGATCTTATCCAAGACCATCCCAGTGGTATCTACAAGTCTGCAAGAGCCGTTGCATTCCAAGGTTTGGGTGTCCCCAGTACAGATACTGCTACAGTGATCAAAACTTGCATTACAACACCCAAGTCCCTTCAAGTAACTGGAAAGCCTTCCCAGGAAAAATGGGCACAAACAAGCCCAAACTGTGAAGACTACAATAAATACCTAATTCTTCAATGCCCAGACACCAATGAACATCTGTAAGCATCAAGATCATCCAGGAAAATATGACCTCACCAACCAAACTAAATGAGGCATCAAAGCTAATCCTGGAGAGACAGTGATATGTGATCTTTCCAATAGAGAATGTAAAATAGCTGTTTTGAGGAAACTCAACAAAATTCAATATAGCATAGAGACAGAACTGAGAATTCTATCAGATAAACTTAATAGAGATTAAAGTAATTAAAAAGAATCAAGCAGAAATCCGGGAGTTGAAAAACACAATTGACATACTGTACAATGCATTAGAGTCTCTTAACAGCAAAATTGATTAAGCAGAAGTGAGAATTAGTAAGCTTGATAGGCTATTTGAAATACACTGTCAGAGGACACAAAAGAAATGAGAACAATAAAAAATTCCCTACAGAATCTAGAAAATAGTCTTAAAAGGAGAAACCTAAGAGTTACTGACTGTAAAAAGGAGGAAGAGAGAGGGATAGGTGTACTCAGAAGGATAAAAATAGAGATCATCATAAACCTAGAGATAAGATATCAATATTCAAGTACAAAAAGGTTATAAAACAACTAGCATAATTAACCCAAAAAAGACTACTTCAAAACATCTAATAATTAAACTCACAAAGGTCGAGGATGAAAAAAGGATCTTAAAGGTGACAAGAGGAAAGAAATAAATAACATATAATGGAGCACCAATATGTCTGGCAGCAGATTTTCAGTGGAAATCTTACAGGCTAGGAGAGAGAGGCATGATATATTTCAAGTGCTGAAGGAAAAATCTTCTCTGAACATAGTAGGATAAAACTAGAAATCAGTTACAAGAGGAATTCTGGAAACTATGTGTCAATGAAGAAATTAAGAAGGAAATTGAAAACTTTCCTGAAAAAATGGCAATGGAAACAAAACATACCAGAACCTAAGACACAGAAAAAGCAATACGAAGAGGAAAGTTTACAGCTCTAAGAGCCTATATCAAAAAAGTAGAAATACTTCAAACAAACAACCTAAAAATGTTTGCCCTAGAGTAGTGCACCCAGTGAAAATAGCCTTCAAACATGAAGGAGAAATAAAGCCTTTTCCAGACAAACAAAACCTAGGGGATTTTATCAACACCATACCTGTACTTCAAGAGTTGCTAGAGGGAGTTCTTCAATCTGAAGAAAAAAAAAAAGATATTAATGAGCTAACATAAATTACCTAAAGATAAAAAACTCACTGTTAATATTATAGTAAGTACACAGAAAAATACAGATTATTATAATACTGTAATTGTGGTGTGTAAACTATGCACATCTTGAGTAGACAGACTAAAAGGTACCAATCAAAAATAAAACTACAAAAAAAAACAAAAAAGACGATGAATCACTATACTTACATCAGACAAAATAGATTTCAAGACTATACAATGACCTTCTTTGTCTCTTGACAAAGACCTTCTCTTTGTCTCTTAAAGGGGTCAATTCAATAACATTGAATAGAAATGAATTAAGCTCTCTAATCAAAAGACAAAGAGTGCCTGAATGGGGAAAAACAAACAAACAAACAGCTATCTTTTGCCTACAAGAAATACACATCACCTATAAAGAGACACATAGACTGACAATAAAGGTATAGAAAAAGATCTACACAAATAGAAAACAAAAAAGACGATGAATCACTATACTTACATCAGACAAAATAGATTTCAAGACTATACAATGACCTTCTTTGTCTCTTGACAAAGACCTTCTCTTTGTCTCTTAAAGGGGTCAATTCAATGTTATTAATATTTTTTAAATTGTACTTTAGGTTCTGGGGTATATGTACAGATCATGCAGGACTGTTGCATAGGTACATACATCACAAGACGGTTTGCTGCCTTCATTCCCTCCATCACCTATAGCTGGTATTTGATAAAAGGGTCAATTCAACAAGAGCTGTTGATACGCTGGACCCCACACTGGAGCACCCAGATATATAAAACAAATACAATTAGAGATAAAGAAATAATCTAATACAATCATAGTTGAAGACTTCAACGGCCCACTTTCAGCACTGGACTACATCATCCAGACAGAAAATCAACAAAGAAACATTGAACTTAATCTGCATTCTAGGTCAATTTGACCTAATAGATATTTCCAGAACATTTTGTCCAATAGTTACAGAATACACATCCTTCTCCTCAGCACATGGATCATTCTCAAGGATAGACTGTGTAGAACAACAAAACAAGTCTTTAAAAATTAAAAAAAAAATGCAATTATGTTAAGCATATCTCTGACCACAATGGAATAAAACCAGAAAATAATAACAAGAGGGATTATGGAAACTATTGGTTAATTAAGAAGTTAAGAAGAAAATTGAGAAATTTCTTGAAATAAATGAGAATGGAAACTAAACATACCTAAACCTAGGATACAGCAAAAGCAGTACTAAGAGAAAGCTCATACCTATAAGCACATATAACAGAAAAGTAGAAAGCCTTCAAATAAACAACCAAAGATGCTCCTTAAAGAACCAGAAAAGCAAGAGTAAATCAAACTCAAAATCAGTAGAAAAGAAATAATAAAGATCAGAGCAAAAATAAAATGGAAACAAAGAAAAACTATATGAAACATCAAAGAAACAACAAGTTGGTTTTTAGAAAAGATAAAGAAAATCAACAAACCATTAGCCAGACTAAGAAAAAAAGAGAAAAGACTCCTTTTTCAAGGAGACAATACAACTGATATGACAGAAAGTCAAAGGATTATTAAAGCTATAATGAGCAACTATGTGCCAATAAATTGGAAAAACTAGAAGAAATGAATGCATTCCTAGACATATACAGCCTACCAGTATTAACCATAAAGAAATCCAAAACCTGAACAGATTAATAACAAGCAATGAGATTGAGACTGTAAGAAAGTCTTTCAGGAGAAAAAAGTCCAAGACCTGATGGCTTCATTGCTGAATTTTACCAGACAGCTAAATAACTAATACCAATTCTACACAAACTATTCTTAAAAGTAGAGCTGGATTGGAAAAATGTGGCACATATACACCATGGAATATTATGCAGCAATCAGAAATGATGAGTTTGTGTCATTTGTAGGGACATGGATGAATCTGGAGAACGTCATCCTCAGCAAACTGACACAAGAACAGAAAACGAAACACCGCATATTCTCACTCATAGGTGGGTGATGAAAAATGAGAACACATGGACACAGAAAGGGGAGAACTAAACACTGGGGTCTATTGGGGGGAAAAGGGGAGGGCCAGTGGGAGGGGGAGGTGGGGAGGGATAGCCTGGGGAGAAATGCCAAATGTGGGTGAAGGGGAGAAAGAAAGAAAAGCACACTGCCATGTGTGTTCCTACGCAACTGTCTTACATGCTCTGCTCATGTACCCCAAAACCCAAAATCCAATAAAAAATTTAAAAAAAAAAAGAAAAGTAGAGAAAGAAAGAATATTTCCAAACTTATTTTATGAGGCCAGTAGTACATTGATACCAAAACCAAAAAAAAAAAAAGAAAGAAAACTACAAGTCAATATCCCTGATAAATGTTAATGCAAAAATCCCCAACAAAATACTAGCAAACCGAAATCAACATATTAGAAAGATCATTCCACCACAATCAAGTGGGATTTATCCCAGAGATGCAAAGATAGTTGAACATGCACAAATCAATTAATATGATTCATCATATCAATAGAATGAAGGGCAAAAACCATAAACATTTCAACTGATACTGAAAAGCATTTGATAAAATTTAACATTTCTTTATTGATAAAGACCCTCAAAAAACTGGGAAGGAACATAACTCAACACAATAAAAGCCATACAAAACAGATTCAAAACTGGTATCATCCTGAATGGGAAAAGAATAAAAGCCTTTTCTCTAAAATCTGGAGTAGGACAAGGATGCCCACTGTCACTAGTGTTTCTCAACATAGTACTGGAATTCCTAGCTAGAGGAGTCAGACAAGAGAGAGATAAAGGGCATTCAAATCCGAAAGGAAAAGTCAAAGTATCATTGTTTGCAGATGATACGATCTTGTATTTGGGAAAAAAGAAAGTAAAGACTCAACAACAAAACTATTTGAATTGATTTTTTTAATTCAGTTAAGTTGAAGAATTCAAAACAAACATACAAACATCAGTAGCCTTTCTATATGTCAACAGCAAACAATCTGAAAAAGAAATCAAGAAAATAATTATATTTACAATAGCAACAAATAAAATTAAATACCTAGGAATTAACCAAAGAAGTGAGTATTCATAAAAGAAACTGAAGGAAACACACACAAAAAAATGGAAAGACATTGTATGTTCATAGATTAGAAGAATCAATATTGTTAAAATGCCCATACAACCCAAAGCAAGCTACAGATTCAATGCAATCCCTATCAAAATGCCAATGACATTATTCACAAAATAGCAACAAAAAAAAAATCCTAAAATTTACATGGAATCACAAGAGATCCAGAATAGCTAAAGCATTCCTAAGCAAAAAGAACAAAACTGGAGGAATCACAATACCTGACTTTAAATTATACCACAGAGCTATATCAACCAAACAGCTTTGCACTGGGATAAAAACAGAAACACACACCAATGGAACAGAATAGAGAACCTGGTACAAGTTCACACATCTACAATGAACTAATTTTCAACAAAGATACCAATAGTATATACTAGGAAAAGGAGAGTCTTTTCAAAAAATGGTGCTGGGAAAACTGGATGGATATGCAGAAGTTTCATATGCAGAAGAATGAAACTAGACCCCTATCTTCAGAAAAAAGTGAAACTAGACCCCTATCTTTAGACTATATACAGAAATAAAATCAAAGTGGATTAAGGACTTAAATCTAAGGTCTCAAATTATTAAACTAATTTTAAAAATGGGAAAATGCTCCAGGACATTGGACAGGGCAAAGATTTCTTGATACCCCACAAGCACAGGCAATCAAAACCAAAAGGACAAATGAGATCACCTCAGGTTAAAAAGTGTGTGCACAGTAAAAGAAACAATCTGTTCGCAGCAAAAGAAACAAAGTGAAGAGACAACCCACAGAATGGGAGAAAATATTTGGAAACGATCCTTCTGACAAGGAATTAATAACCTGAATATATAAGAAACCCAAACAATTCTATAGAAGAAAATCTAATAGTCTGATCAAAAATCTGATAGTCTGATTTTTTCAAGAGAAGACAAACAAATGGCAAATGGATATAAGAATAAGAAAAGTCTCAATGTCATTGATCATCAGAGAATATTTCGGTTTTGCTTCCAAATCAAAACTATAATGACATATCATCTTACACCAGTTAAAATGACTTTTATCCAAAAGACAGGCAATAACAAGCGCTGGCAAGGACATAGGGAAAAGGCAACCCTATTGCTCTGTTGGAGGGAATGTAAGTTAGTACAACCACTTGGAGAACAGTTCGTAGATTCCTCCATATACTAAAAATACAGCTACCATATGATCCAGCAATCCCACTGCTAGGTATACAGGCAAAAGAAAGGAAATCAGTGTATCAAAGAGATATTTGCATTCCCACGCATATTGCAGCGATATTCACAATAGCTAAGATCTGGAAACAACCTGAGTGTTCATCAGCAGACAAATGGATAAAGAAAATGTGCTACATATATGCTATAGAATACTATTTGGCCATAAAAAAATGAGATCCTGTCATTTGCAACAGCATGGATGGAACTGGAGGTCATTACGTTAAGTGAAATAAGTCAGGCACAGAAAAATAAATATCACATGTTATCACTTGTTTGTGAGAGCTAAAAATTAAAGCAATTGAACACTTGGAGATAAAAAGTGAAAGTATAGTTAAAAAAGAAAGTAAAAGTATAGTTACCAGAGGCTAGGAAGGGTAGTAGAGGGTAAGAGTAAAAAAGAGATGGTTAGTGGTACAAAAAATAGAAAGAATGGATGAGATCTAGTATTTGACAGCACAACAGGGAGACTGTAATCAATAATTTTTTATACATTTTTAATAACTAAATGTATAATTCAATTATGTGAAACACAAAGGATAAATGCTTGAAGTGGTGGGTACTCCACTTAACCTGATGTGATTATTACATATTATATTCCTGCATCAAATATCTCATGTGTCCTATACATATATAAACCTACTATGTACCCACAAAAATTAAAAATATAT